ATGGCCTCCAGGCAACCATCTTGGATTTGGAAGGTAAAGATTATCATCACTATTTCTGCAAAGGAATGTGTAAATGTCTAATCATTAAGAACACCGAGAAGAAAAGAGAAAAGAAGGAAAAAGATCCAACTTTCAAAGAGCAAAGAAAGATAAAACAATGGTGGGCATGAAGATCCCTCTGGGATCTCTTGTTATGGAAGTATGGGCGGTGATTTAGGATTAGGATGGTAGTAAGGGCTGTGATTTTGGATTAGGATGGTAGTAAGGGCTGTGATTTTGGATTAGGGTGGTAGTAAGGGCTGTGATTTTGGATGAGATGGTAGTAAGGGCTGTGATTTTGGATGAGATGGTAGTAGGGGCTGTGATTTTGGATTAGGGGGTAGTAAGGGCGGTGATTTTGGATGAGATGGTATTAAGGGCTGTGATTTTGGATGAGATGGTATAAAGGGCTGTGATTTTGGATGAGATGGTAGTAAAGGCGATGATTTTGGATTAAGATGGTAGTAAGGGCTGTGATTTTGGATGAGATGGTAGTAAGGGCTGTGATTTTGGATTAGGGTGGTAGTAAGGGCTGTGATTTTGGATGATATGGTAGTAAGGGCTGTGATTTTGGATGAGATGGTAGTAAGGGCTGTGATTTTGGATTAGTAAGGGCTGTGATTTAGGATGAGATGGTAGTAAGGGCTGTGATTTTGGATTAGGGTGGTAGTAAGGGCTGTGATTTTGGATGATATGGTAGTAAGGGCTGTGATTTAGGATTAGGGTGGTAGTAAGGGCTGTGATTTTGGATGAGATGGTAGTAAGGGCTGTGATTTTGGATTAGGGTGGTAGTAAGGGCTGTGATTTTGGATGAGATGGTAGTAAGGGCTGTGATTTTGGATTAGGATGGTAGTAAGGGCTGTGATTTTGGATTAGGATGGTAGTAAGGTCTGTGATTTTGGATTAGGATGGTAGTAAGGGCTGTGATTTTGGATTAGGATGGTAGTAGGGGCTGTGATTTTGGATAAGGGGGTAGTAAGGGCGGTGATTTTGGATTAGGGTGGTAGTAAGGGCTGTGATTTTGGATGAGATGGTAGTAAGGGCTGTGATTTTGGATGAGATGTGATTTTGGATGAGATGGTAGTAAGGGCTGTGATTTTGGATTAGGGTGGTAGTAAGGGCTGTGATTTTGGATTAGGGTGGTAGTAAGGGCGGTGATTTTGGATTAGGGTGGTAGTAAGGGCTGTGATTTTGGATTAGGATGGTAGTAAGGGCTGTGATTTTGGATTAGGATGGTAGTAAGGTCTGTGATTTTGGATTAGGATGGTAGTAAGGGCTGTGATTTTGGATTAGGATGGTAGTAAGGGCTGTGATTTTGGATTAGGGTGGAAGTAAGGGCTGTGATTTTGGATGAGATGGTAGTAAGGGCTGTGATTTTGGATTAGGATAGTAAGGGCTGTGGCTGTGATTTTGGATTAGGGTGGTAGTAAGGGCTGTGATTTTGGATGAGATGGTAGTAAGGGCTGTGATTTTGGATGAGATGGTAGTAAGGGCTGTGATTTTGGATTAGGGTGGAAGTAAGGGCTGTGATTTTGGATGAGATGGTAGTAAGGGCTGTGATTTAGGATTAGGGTGGTAGTAAGGGCTGTGATTTTGGATTAGGGTGGTAGTAAGGGCGGTGATTTTGGATTAATGGTATTTTGGATTAGGATGGTAGTAAGGGCTGTGATTTTGGATGATATGGTAGTAAGGGCTGTGATTTAGGATTAGGGTGGAAGTAAGGGCTGTGATTTTGGATTAGATGGTAGTAAGGGCTGTGATTTTGGATTAGGATGGTAGTAAGGTCTGTGATTTTGGATTAGGATGGTAGTAAGGGCTGTGATTTTGGATTAGGGTGGTAGTAAGGGCTGTGATTTTGGATTAGGATGGTAGTAAGGGCTGTGATTTTGGATGAGATGGTAGTAAGGGCTGTGATTTTGGATTAGGATGGTAGTAAGGGCTGTGATTTTGGATTAGGGTGGTAATAAGGGCTGTGATTTTGGATGAGATGGTAGTAAGGGCTGTGATTTTGGATGAGATGGTAGTAAGGGCTGTGATTTTGGATGAGATGGTAGTAAGGGCTGTGATTTTGGATTAGGGTGGTAGTAAGGGCTGTGATTTTGGATTAGGGTGGTAGTAAGGGCGGTGATTTTGGATTAGGATGGTAGTAAGGGCTGTGATTTTGGATGAGATGGTAGTAAGGGCGGTGATTTTGGATTAGGATGGTAGTAAGGGCTGTGATTTTGGATTAGGATGGTAGTAAGGGCGGTGATTTTGGATTAGGGTGGTAGTAAGGGCTGTGATTTTGGATGAGATGGAGGAGGAATAAAGTGCCATCACAAAGACACCTGGTGATGGTATGATTACAGTGATGTATGTAATGACTAACTCCAAATGATAAATATATATGGGATGTGCATTGAAGCTCATCACAATGCATACCACAGACTTTAAAACCCACAGCAATAGATTATCAGCATAGAGAGACCAAGGAGACGTGTCTGTCTGTCATAGGACTGACGGGCACAAGGCTTTTGTGGATGTTGTCATGGAAACAAAATGGCCTCTGGCCTTTAAAAAGATAAAAGCTGATGTTAACTGAGAATATTAAAAAACTTATTATGAAATCAAAAGGACAATAAAAACAACGGTTATACCAAGTTTGTATCAATGATGGGTGTTACAGGGAGATTTCTTTAATATAGTAACAACTTACATACAAGTTTGTATCAGTGATGAGTGTTACCGGGAGATTTCTGAGATATAGTAACAACTTACATACAAGTTTGTATCAGTGATGAGTGTTACAGGGAGATTTCTGAGATATAGTAACAACTTACATACAAGTTTGTATCAGTGATGAGTGTTACAGGGAGATTTCTGAGATATAGTAACAACTTACATACAAGTTTGTATCAGTGATGAGTGTTACAGGGAGATTTCTGAGATATAGTAACAACTTACATACAAGTTTGTATCAGTGATGAGTGTTACAGGATTTCTCCAATATAGTAACAACTTACATACAAGTTTGTATCAGTGATGAGTGTTACAGGGAGATTTCTGAGATATAGTAACAACTTACATACAAGTTTGTATCAGTGATGAGTGTTACAGGGAGATTTCTGAGATATAGTAACAACTTACATACAAGTTTGTATCAGTGATGAGTGTTACAGGGAGATTTCTGAGATATAGTAACAACTTACATACAAGTTTGTATCAGTGATGAGTGTTACAGGGAGATTTCTGAGATATAGTAACAACTTACATACAAGTTTGTATCAGTGATGAGTGTTACAGGGAGATTTCTGAGATATAGTAACAACTTACATACAAGTTTGTATCAGTGATGAGTGTTACAGGGAGATTTCTGAGATATAGTAACAACTTACATACAAGTTTGTATCAGTGATGAGTGTTACAGAGATTTCTGAGATATAGTAACAACTTACATACAAGTTTGTATCAGTGATGAGTGTTACAGGGAGATTTCTGAGATATAGTAACAACTTACATACAAGTTTGTATCAGTGATGAGTGTTACAAGTTTGTATCAGTGATGAGATTTCTGAGATATAGTAACAACTTACATACAAGTTTGTATCAGTGATGAGTGTTACAGGGAGATTTCTGAGATATAGTAACAACTTACATACAAGTTTGTATCAGTGATGAGTGTTACAGGGAGATTTCTCCAATATAGTAACAACTTACATACAAGTTTGTATCAGTGATGAGTGTTACAGGGAGATTTCTCTAATATAGTAACAACTTACATACAAGTTTGTATCAGTGATGAGTGTTACCGGGAGATTTCTGAGATACAGTAACAACTTACATACAAGTTTGTATCAGTGATGAGTGTTACAGGGAGATTTTCTGAGATATAGTAACAACTTACATACAAGTTTGTATCAGTGATGAGTGTTACAGGGAGATTTCTGAATATAGTAACAACTTACATACAAGTTTGTATCAGTGATGAGTGTTACAGGGAGATTTCTCTGAGATATAGTAACAACTTACATACAAGTTTGTATCAGTGATGAGTGTTACAGGGAGATTTCTGAGATATAGTAACAACTTACATACAAGTTTGTATCAGTGATGAGTGTTACAGGGAGATTTCTCTAATATAGTAACAACTTACATACAAGTTTGTATCAGTGATGAGTGTTACAGGGAGATTTCTGAGATATAGTAACAACTTACATACAAGTTTGTATCAGTGATGAGTGTTACAGGGAGATTTCTGAGATATAGTAACAACTTACATACAAGTTTGTATCAGTGATGAGTGATATAGTAACAACTTACATACAAGTTTGTATTACAGGGAGATTTCTGAGATATAGTAACAACTTACATACAAGTTTGTATCAGTGATGAGTGTTACAGGGAGATTTCTGAGATATAGTAACAACTTACATACAAGTTTGTATCAGTGATGAGTGTTACAGGGAGATTTCTGAGATATAGTAACAACTTACATACAAGTTTGTATCAGTGATGAGTGTTACAGGGAGATTTCTGAGATATAGTAACAACTTACATACAAGTTTGTATCAGTGATGAGTGTTACCGGGAGATTTCTGAGATATAGTAACAACTTACATACAAGTTTGTATCAGTGATGAGTGTTGATGAGTGTTACAGGGAGATTTCTGAGATATAGTAACAACTTACATACAAGTTTGTATCAGTGATGAGTGTTACCGGGAGATTTTCTGAGATATAGTAAATAATAAACTCTTCCAAGATTGGTTTATTTTCCCTTTTTTTTAGCATACATTGTTCTTTATCTTTCCATCTATCTATTGAGAAGAAGATTTATTATCATCTTTTTGTTTTTTTTTAAATCCTCAAGGCACTTTGTTGGATTAATTATTTCAATGGTTTTGATATTTTCACTTTTTACAGGATATAACAATCCGTTTGTAAGTGTTCTGTAATTAATATTTTAACTATTTTTTTCACAGAAACAACTAGACACTACAGCCACTGAATTGGCCAATCGACAAGATGAAAGTGACGCTTCACGGAAAAGATTGGTAGAACAGAGCAGAGATTTCAAGAAAAACACACCAGAAGTATGTAATCATTAGTCTTATCTTTATTCCCGAATATTTGTATCTAGTTGAACTTTGCTACATTAACACCCCGATCTTGTCCCTATTTATTCCTCGTTATTGAACCTTGGACAGTTATTCCTCAAAAACCTGCATTCCTACAACTCCTCTTTATCCTTGTTCCATGAATGTTCACAGTATTTCTCTTTTTGTTGAACAGGTGGCATGGTTGCTATACTTTACCCATGTCACATGTGTCCAGCTTCAGCACACCCACTCGGTGTTGATTTGACAGCAGATAATTACAGGATTCCTGTGGTGTCATTGTAGATATATACTGATATCTGCTACATAAGACGATTGCTTTTTGTGGACATTTTATGTAATCATTGATTAATAGTTATTAATTATCTAGTTGAATATATTGCTGAATACTACAAATCATTTAGATTTCGTGAATACTTTATTTTGTGAACTGAACTGTTCAGACATTACCACAAATACATGATTTTATGAGCTTTATCTAAAAGTGATTTTAAATTCCTGACTTTTTAGCTATTAGAGACCAAGATTCTTTAAGATTCTGATATTGGTAACAGAATCAACATGAACAACACCAAGAGTTATTTTCATGCAAATAATTGTTAAGGATTTGAATTTGTAGTTGACTCCCCTGGCATATTAGTGAAAAAATCAATTCCAGGGGAAGTATAATTGATTTACTATCATCTGCTATTCAAACATATGTTTGTTTATAACTGCTAACCGAAATTACAGAATGGCACATATTTAGGGGAAGGCATGGAAGAAGTAGGTGACACAATTCTCCCTGTATGTTTACCCATATTTTCAGCCCGCCATTACTGGATAATGGGCTATTTCAATCGCCCTATGTTTGAGGTCTGTCCGTCCAGGTGTTAGTTTGTCCGTCCGTCCGTAAACAATCACTATCAAGGTCACAAGTATCCATCCATTGTGTTAAAATGTTTAAATGTCTTCTTCTCAATAACCTAAAGGCCAAGAGTCTTGATATTGGGCCTGTGGCTTGCTTTTTCAGCAAGCAATATGTCTAGAGTAATGGCAATTGTGTAGTGCATGTATAAAGAATATGATTTCAAGTTTGCAGAAAATGTGTTGATGAACCAACAATGTCTTCTATGTAAGCTGAAGAGTAGTTGAGCAATTTATTGCCTCTTTCACATATAAGTATTTATAGTTAGATGACCGTTAAGGTCTAAAGGCCTCTTGTTAAAATAAACCAATACAGAATTATTTTTAATTCTACCTTGTGTTCTCAGCAACATGCTTTCAGCATGTTAAAAAGAGGTGAATTATAAATTTCACCTGTTTTTCTGTTGTAAAATTCAAGACATTGAAAGTATTTGTTAAAACTTCAGTACAGTCATAAAGAAAAGAGTACTAAATTAGTCATTCACGGACAAAAGGCATAGATCAATGATCACTTCCTCACGGTCTATAACCAACTTCTGATTACCCAGTACTCCAGGAACAAATGACAAAAGAGTTCAACTTAGCAGGGTTTTATTGGAGTTAATCTGACTACCACATATTAGTTGCTTTCTTCAGCATGAAACATCCCCATCATTTCTTCACACAGCTATCCACAATACTGCCCACTTCCGTCAAGTATAAAGGTCAGCTTGGCTAATGATGCAATTAAGGTCAATTAAGGACATATGTTATTTTTTTTGTTAAGGATAAATATTTCCAATACCAAAGATATCTACTTAAAGAAAACTGATAGTTTATTTTTTATTACTGGCTACAAATCTTGTTACAGATTTGATAGTGTATTCATAGTGAGGAAATTGTGTAGGTTTATAAGTAACAAATATCACTTGTCTAAGGTAAGTTGGAAAGTGTCTCGGCTTTGATACATAAGGGAGACTCCAGTCTGTAATGCAGGTTACAAGAAAACTATCTAAGCTTGGATACACAAGGGAAATACTTCCACTCTATGAAGAATCAGTGTTGTCATGTATAAGGGAGACAACTCCAGTCTGATACAAATTTCAAGTAAAGTTTTAGTGCTGTATACAAAAGGGAGATAACTAAACACAGAAAACATAATGACAGAAATATAGTGACAGGTGAAAAAAAGCAGGGAATTAACTCTAACATAAATAATATGTAATATTTACATGGCATACTCCCTTAATTACTGACTGGAAGTGCCTTTGTGATTTTTACTTTTGTCTGTAGGGTCAAGGTCCAAGGAAGCAATCAAGTCTCATCTGATTATCATTTCCTTTTAATCACATGTGCATCATCCAAGAGACTTCTGTCTGTAGGTTAAGGCTATAACAAAAGGTTAAATCAGTTGGATGATTAGTCATAGTGGATATACTGATTTCACTTTTTGACGATAAAAAAGTTTTTGTTTACAACTAATTTTCTTATGTTTTCTTAATTATTGTGAGGAATTGCCTGGAAACTGAGGTACATTAGAATTATTAGGGATTTTACTGACAGGAAACTTATTGGGTATTAATTGTTTGTTTGTTAGTGTGAGTGCATTGATGTGTATTGATGTGCAGGGTGATGATTGGAGGAGGGAGAGTTTTCTGTCTGGAACTCCTTCCTGCTGTGTTGCTAGTCTAGGCCCTGGAGTCATTTTGAAGTTCACTGGCTCAGCTTCCCCTTCACTACAGACATAATTTGCTATATAATTTGCAATAATCGCCTGATCTTCCTAACACAAACCAGATGCACAAATCTATCAATATATACAAAAAGCTAAATCTCTGGGCCATGGGAACCAAATAGTAATCACTAATTGTCAATTAACTGGTTGTATGTGAGCAGTTATGTAGTGTTTCTCTTTCTTCTGTATCAGTTGGCTGTTTGCTTCCCCATGTCTCCGAGTTCAATACTATCGCAAGGCTACTTTCAGGGGAATTAACGAATTAGAGGGACACAGCGATATTAGCTGACGCGATTCTTTGATCTCCTTTCAAAAATGTGCATTTAGTTAAAACTAGAATGATACTACTGGTTATAACAGCCCTATAAAGCTATCTCAAAAGACCCAAGGAATTAAAAAAAGGAAATTTGTGATCCTTCAAGAAACACTTTGGTAAAAACTTACCCAGGCCCCATATTGATTAAAGACAAAATTGAAAAAGGCAGCAAAAACTCTAAGTGTATATCATAGGTTTAACGACTAAGGAACAATTCGCATGTGTTTCCTATTAGACCGAGCCTGGGACAGCTATATTGTGCTATTCTCTACTCTGACACGGTTCATTACGACTCTGATTTCTGCGGCAGCTTTTATGTTTTGGGACGGAGTTTGTTGAAGATAATTTTCTCCCACTGTGATATGACTGATCAGCAGTGACTAGTAGTGATAGAACTTCTGTTTCGCGCAGGAAATTGACCCAGCGGGGAAGATGTATTAATCACTGAGCTACGAACATAAGCTGGTCGGGGAGCTTATGTAAATAGTTGTAATTTGTGAAAACTTACATGTCTCACGACTGTATTTGGCAGCATGTTTGCTAAAGGGTTTTACGAACCAATGACTGTTACAGAGCCATGAGTGACAGGGCTGACACTAAGAAACGAATACGAACTCCTTTGCATTGAGACCATAGTTTGTTGACCCCAGAACAGAGAAAGGGATGAGATTTCTCTCAGAGTAACGGAGATTATTGTAAAAAGCAAAATGATTCTGATTTAAAAATTGGGACATTAATAGTAGAATTGATAACATGAAGGGAGATTATAGTAGATTGGATTGTGTGGAGAAATAATTTGAAGTCAAACTAAAGAATATTTGAAAAAAATGAAAGGGCAGACAACTGTAATGGTGCTGTAGGCCGTTTATGGGTACAAGGTCACAGATATTGTAGAAATTTCATAGGAACAAGTTCATAGGATCTGTAGGAAGTTTATAGGAACAAGTTCATAGGATCTGTAGGAAGTTTATAGGGACAAGATTATAGGATCTGTAGGAAGTTTATAGGGACAAGATTATAGGATCTGTAGGAAGTTTATAGGGACAAGATTATAGGATCTGTAGGAAGTTTATAGGGACAAGTTCATAGGATCTGTAGGAAGTTTATAGGGACAAGATTATAGGATCTGTAGGAAGTTTATAGGGACAAGATTATAGGATCTGTAGGAAGTTTATAGGGACAAGATTATAGGATCTGTAGGAAGTTTATAGGGACAAGTTCATAGGATCTGTAGGAAGTTTATAGGGACAAGATTATAGGATCTGTAGGAAGTTTAAAAAAGTTGATATTAACAAGGCCAGAGGAAGTCAATAGAACAATTTAGTTTTAGGTCTGTCGTAACTTGGAATAAATCATTCTCCTGTTGATTTGACACATTTTTATATCTTCTTACTTTACCATAAAAACCTGATTCTTAATCATTGATCTCATGTTACTTCCATTTTAAACCCAGACATGCACTTTAGTCAAATTTGATGAAAGCGCGATTTTGAAACGATGGGGTCGAATGTTAATGAAGTTGTCTTGTCCAAATTGTCCTGAGATACATCTCGGCATTTTCTACGAACAAAGCGCAAAAAAAGCTGACAATTTAATTAATTATAGTAATAGTGTATATCCTGGCTACTAAAACTGTCATTGTGGGTTTAGACCAAGCTGTAAAATGTCACTGTGATAAACAGAAATATTTAATATAACACATTCCACTTACATAACCAGCAATCACATGTTATACCACGTAGGATCTTATACAAGGGACGGCTGACTTCACACAGTCACTTAAAACTGTCAACATGATTTACTTCTTAAATTAATATACAAAACCATGCAAGGTTTTCTTCTAAAAAAATTATTCACTTTCTTCTTTTGATAGACTTTTATTAATTTTATATACAAGTATGTAATGTTGAAACAAATTTCCTAAAAAGGGGAAATGTGTGAAATGTTCTTGAAGCATTTTTTCAGTTCAATAGGAAGTTATATCTTACGATGGATTCATCTGTGTCTCACAGTCATTGTGCTGTCATTGTTATATAATCAGTACATTTGGTTGTTATATTATCAGTACATTTGATTGTGATATTATCAGTACATTTGATTATGATGTTATCAGTACATTTGATTGTGATATTATCAGTACATTTGATTATGATGTTATCAGTACATTTGGTTGTGATATTATCAGTACATTTGGTTGTGATATTATCAGTACATTTCATTGTGATATTATCAGTACATTAGGTTGTGATATTATCAGTACATTTGGTTGTGATATTATCAGTACATTTGGTTATGATGTTATCAGTACATTTGATTATGATGTTATCAGTACATTTGGTTGTGATATTATCAGTACATTTGATTGTGATGTTATCAGTACATTTGGTTGTGATATTATCAGTACATTTGGTTGTGATGTTATCAGTACATTTGGTTGTGATATTATCCGTACATTTGATTATGATGTTATCAGTACATTTGATTATGATGTTATCAGTACATTTGGTTGTGATATTATCAGTACATTTGATTGTGATGTTATCAGTGGTTGTGATATTAGTACATTTGGTTGTGATGTTATCAGTACATTTGGTTGTGATATTATCCGTACATTTGATTATGATGTTATCAGTACATTTGGTTGTGATGTTATCAGTACATTTGGTTCAGTACATTTGGTTGTGATGTTATCAGTACATTTGATTATGATGTTATCAGTACATTTGGTTGTGATATTATCAGTACTTTGGATTGTGATATTATCAGTACATTTGATTGTGATATTATCAGTACATTTGGTTGTGATGTTATTAGTACATTTGGTTGTGATGTTGTCAGTGATGTTATCAGTACATTTGGTTGTGATATCATCAGTACATTTGGTTGTGATGTTATCAGTACAGTGATGCTATCAGTACATTTGGTTGTGATATTATCAGTACATTTGGATTATGAACTACACACAACATTTGGTATAGATGTTATCAGTACATTTGGTTGTGATATTATCAGTACACTTGATTGTGATATTATGAGTACATTTGGTTGTGATATTATCAGTACACTTGATTGTGATATTATCAGTACATTTGGTTGTGATGTTATCAGTACATTTGGTTGTGATGTTATCAGTACTTTGGATTGTGATACTCTATGTACAAATATTATTCCTATGAATCTGTATTCTCCACTCAATAGCCGCTGACATTGTGATATTATTAGTCACATGTTTTAGAGCTGAGAATAGGAGTGGTATCATTTAAAACCCAAAGTACAAGCACATCATTATCAAGTTCAAGTGTAAACAACTGATCACCGATCTCAACCCTTGTATAACCATATATGTGGATAGGATGATAAAACATGACCTTCAGGGTTACCAATTACTCCTCTGTAACAAGGATATAAACTAATAGTTTATCGAAGAATGTCAGTTAAAATATTATTCTTCATTTGATTATAGAATTTCTTTTAATTCAGTGTAAATTTTAGAAATTACAATAAAATATCTTGCAATTATTTGATCAACTGTTGTCTTCTTGTTATTTATTTATTTAATTTTGGAGATATTTTACAAAGAAACATATGGTATCAGTCCTGGTTTATAAAGGTTTTATGGCTTTTAATTTCAGTTCTGTCTGTTATTGGCATAGAGTATATAAATCAATATCTATATGTAGATACTGTAAACAATAGATCCTACAGGTGTAGATACTGTAAACAATATATCCATAATGTAATTGAGTTAAGGGTATATGGTACTTTTTACATTTTACCTGGGTTTCTTTTTATAGTATCTTTACTTATTTGTGTAAATTACTGACTTCTTAAAATCAAAATACTCATAAAGTTCTCTAGACATTTATTTTTTTTCTTTCATTTTAACATATAATCAAAACAACTTCAATCAAACATTTATATGTGAGTGAAGGATATTCCTGGGGACACATGTAGATTATTACTACTAATACAGAAAGTTTGGATATGATGTGCTAGACGTTGTAGCCAGGATCCTAAACTTTCAACTGGAAACATAATTTTAGAAGAATGTTTTCAATAGGTTTAAACTATGTTATAGTTTTTTTTTCCTTGCAAGTTACAGATAATAATATTGATATTATCGGTTTGAAGCAATAAGGATCATTACTGCTTCAATTTCTGTTGCTAACTGTTCATTGCTAATAATATTGTAATGTCTTGGTGGTATGAACGAGGCAATGCTACACACTAGAGACGGCTATGTATTATCGGTGCTGCAATTTGACAGTAATGGTGTGCCTTGAGCTATTGTATTTCATGACTAGTAAGCATTCTCATGGATCGGTATAACATGAAAGCCAATTAAAGCCCAGAGATTCTAAGACAAAATTCAAACTGTGGAGTTATGGTATTTAGATGTAGGGATAATTTTTGCTTTCATTATGGCTACTGATGATGATGGGATGAGTGGGGCAGGGCCGGTAATGGGGAGGGGGGATGTGACGGGGTGAACTTCATTTCTCAAACGACAGCCAAACTGATTTTCTCAGCACATTAATACCATACTGTGTTAGATACTCAATATGAGAAAAGTGCCATGGCTGGTCCTGACTGTCCCAGTGTAACATGGCTGGTCCTATAACCTGGTATTGATGTAATGTGAAAAAAACATGGCTGGTCCTATAACCTGGTATTGGTGTAGTGTGAAAAAAAACACGGCTGGTCCTATAACCTGTTATTGGTGTAGTGTGAAAAAAAACATGGCTGGTCCTATAACCTGTTATTGGTGTAGTGTGAAAAAAAACATGGCTGGTCCTATAACCTGGTATTGATGTAATGTGAAAAAAACATGGCTGGTCCTATAACCTGGTATTGGTGTAGTGTGAAAAAAAACACGGCTGGTCCTATAACCTGTTATTGGTGTAGTGTGAAAAAAAACATGGCTGGTCCTATAACCTGTTATTGGTGTAGTGTGAAAAAAAACATGGCTGGTCCTATAACCTGGTATTGTGGTATTATTTCAGTTTGAATAATCTAGACACATCAAATTATATCTACCTTGACCCTAATCTAGAAACATAAAGAAATACACACACACTCACAAGTCCTCCATCCTTCAGAAATATACGCACACTCACAAGTCCTCCATACTTCAGAAATACACACACACTCACAAGTCCTCCATACTTCAGAATTACACACACACTCACAAGTCCTCAGAATTACACACACACTCACTAGTCCTCCATACTTCAGAAATACACACACACTCACAAGTCCTCCGTCCCTCAGAATTACACACACACTCACAAGTCCTCCGTCCCTCAGAATTACACACACACTCACAAGTCCTCCGTCCCTCAGAATTACACACACACTCACAAGTCCTCCGTCCCTCAGAATAAGAGTAGACCTTCAATACTACTGATATTGACCTACTAAATACACACAATAGTATGGCTGTGTTCGACATCTCCCCACAACTAAACACTGATCACATCTATTAATGTCTGTCTGTATAAATCAGTATTTATCACCGCCCTGGAGAAAGCACAGGTGCCCCGCGCCCCTCATCCATCGGAGGTAAACCAAGGTAGGCAGCACTGTTGTCTCCCCTCATTATTGATTTGTTTGATCGGTGGGCTAGATTGCAGTGAAAAGAGGCAGAATCTATCTGGCCTCATAAATAAGCCTGGTCTTATCAGAGGGGGATCTTATATCACCGACGAAAAAAGAGTATCTTTCTGAGCTCATTTCGTCTGTGTTAATTAACTGAAGTTTATAGTGTTGCCCAACTTGTTTTTTTGTGGAACACATGACCCAAGATAAACCAGCATTTATCGGAGTGACTTAGGTGTGTACGATTGGAAATCACCTTCTTATTACTGATCTGATCTATCAGACCCCCTTACTAGGCTGTCTGGTATCCTCTCGCCCCAGCAGCCCGACCAAACATATGTAAGTTGGCCACGGATGTGACATGACTGATTGGTTGAACTTTTTTGTAGACAATCTTTTTTTATGGAGTTTTGAATACACAATAAGAAGTGGGATGATGGTCCAGTCATCTCACTACTCACAAGATCCTGAAATCTGTGTCAGAAAATGACCCAATGCTGAAGAAATGACAACTGAAGTTTTAGAGTTGATTGAACCTTGTTTGAAACTTTTGATTATCTCTGAGGATTTACTTCAATTATGAGACTAAAATTGATAAAAATATGAAAAACAAAAAAAAAAACAAAAAACAAAGGCTAACAATTTTGTATTAACTTCTTGTTAAATAGTAAGAAAATGGCTTGTTTTGTAACTGAATAGGACCTGTTGGTTATACACAATCATTTACCCTGAGTTATGGTTTATAGTAAGTAATCCTGTTTTCAGTAAAGGACAACTACTATTAGTAATTAGATTGAAAGCCATTAAATATAGAAACAAAGTAATATTTGTTCCATTAATGTTTTGTTTTTTGTTTGATTTCAGGAGTTACGCAAACTTGTCGCACCACTATTAAAAAGTTTTCAAGCAGAAGTTGATTCATTATCCAAACGAAGCAAGGCGGCAGAAGGAGCATTCTTGTCTGTGTATAAAAAGATTATTGACCTTCCCGGTAAGTTCAAAGGTCATGTCCATTCTTCTTAATGCCACTCCTGTAGGGAAAGAATTCTTCTGTATGAGAATCTAAATCATTGTGATGTGAAAAAAAAATCATGTGATAATCACAGCTTGTAATAAATTGAGTATGAAAATGATTTAAAAATTGAGGATTTGAAATATTAAATGCTTCAATACGATTAATGTTTAATTAGTTAAGGACAAAGCATTTAAGATATTCAAGTCGTCAGACTTTTGTAATCGATTTAACTTTGATTAATAAAGAGATAAAGATGGTGAAAATTAATGACTCATTAGAATAAGTGTTCATGATCCAAAGTTGTTTTGTGATAAGTACTAACTAGATATTGGGTCCTGATCTACTGACTACATATTGGGTCCTGAACTACTAACTAGATATTGGGTCCTGAACTACTGACTAGATATTGGGTCCTGAACTACTAACTAGATATTGGGTCCTGAACTACTGACTAGATATTGGGTCCTGAACTACTGACTAGATGTTAATTGTGTCCTGAACTACTAACTAGATGTTAATTGTGTCCTGAACTACTGACTAGATATTGGGTCCTGAACTACTAACTAGATGTTAATTGTGTCCTGAACTACTAACTAGATGTTAATTGTGTCCTGAACTACTGACTAGATATTGGATCCTGAACTACTAACTAGATGTTAATTGTGTCCTGAACTACTTACTAGATGTTAATTGTGTCCTGAACTACTAACTAGATATTGGGTCCTGAACTACTGACTAGATATTGGGTCCTGAACTACTGACTAGATGTTAATTGTGTCCTGAACTACTAACTAGATGTTAATTGTGTCCTGAACTACTGACTAGATATTGAACTACTGACTAGATGTTAATTGTGTCCTGAACTACTAACTAGATGTTAATTGTGTCCTGAACTACTAACTAGATGTTAATTGTGTCCTGAACTACTGACTAGATATTGGGTCCTGAACTACTAACTAGATATTGGGTCCTGAACTACTAACTAGATATTGGGTCCTGAACTACTAACTAGATATTGGGTCCTGAACTACTAACTAGATATTGGGTCCTGAACTACTAACTAGATATTGGGTCCTGAACTACTAACTAGATATTGGGTCCTGAACTACTGACTAGATATTGGGTCCTGAACTACTGACTAGATATTGGGTCCTGAACTACTAACTAGATGTTAATTGTGTCCTGAACTACTAACTAGATATTGGGTCCTGAACTACTGACTAGATATTGGGTCCTGAACTACTAACTAGATGTTAATTGTGTCCTGAACTACTAACTAGATATTGGGTCCTGAACTACTGACTAGATATTGGGTCCTGAACTACTAACTAGATATTGGGTCCTGAACTACTGACTAGATATTGGGTCCTGAACTACTAACTAGATATTGGGTCCTGAACTACTAACTAGATATTGGGTCCTGAACTACTGACTAGATATTGGGTCCTGAACTACTAACTAGATATTGGGTCCTGAACTACTAACTAGATATTGGGTCCTGAACTACTGACTAGATATTAATTGTTTTCTGAACAAAGCTATTGTTCTAATTAATGAAAAGTATTGATCACAAAAAACTTTAATGAACTTTTATAATCAGTGTTAGATTATTTAAATGAAATGAGAAATGTAATTGTCCTAGAAGTATGGTTTTTGACAATGGAAGAAAATGTAAAGATGAGATATGATAAGGAGAACTACCTGTTTAACAGGTTGTAAGGCGGCAGCTTACCTATCTACACACCTGTAGCTATGGAGGTGGCCACACCTGATCACAAACAGGTGCCAGTCATTTATTAGACACGTATTAACGTATCTCCATGCAGGTTACGCTGTTTATGAGGATGCTAGCCACCCAGGGATGGGCTAGGATTTCTACTGGCTCTTTTAATGCAGATTGAATTTTAATTTCCTGTCGAGTAATCACTGTTTAATGTGATACAAGTTATAGACAAGATGGAGGCTGATAGGTTTGTTTTCTTGTACTGCTTCGCTGAGGTGCTGCCATTTTAGTCGCAAGAATGGCAATAATATCTAAATCATTCCAAACAACTGATATAGTGTGTTGTTCATATTATGAAATTCTTTCTTTTATCGAACAAACACCAGCATTGCATTAGCTAGCATTACGTCCCCGATCAAGAGTGTGGGATTTGATGTCGTTCACAGATTGAAAGAATTAGACAGATGAAATGTGATATTTCTCTACTGGTAATGGAAAAGGGGAATGGGGCAGGGAGGGGCTGCACAGACCTGAGACTCCTATTGATAAATATTGTTGGGAAATGATTTTTTGGGTCTTAAGATCTTACTTATAGTTTTGAGTTTTTTGTTTTAAATTGAGACAAGTGATTTTGGAATGATGTGATAAGGCTTGAGATACACAGGTATCTGCTGGCCACTTGAAGTTGAAGCAGTGTTATGATGCGGTCCTGATAACTAATGCTGCACACTGAATCTTAATGCTTTATATTTGCCGTTCCTGAAAGGAGTTTTTTGTTCCACTTGACGCTGGAGTTGATCACATCTTATCATGATACCACACAGAACTTCCCATTAACCCTCCGTACTCACGGCAACCAAGAAATCACCATGTAAACCCAGAAAATATATATTAAATGTTTTTTATTGAACCCTGTGATGATAGCAAATCATAAAAGTGTGCTAGCTATATAAACTGGCATAACTACAGAGATCTAGAAAAACTTATCAATTAGTTGTCAGCCTCCAGCTTGAAGAGGGGGCTGAACCCTCCGGTCCCCCATCAGCTAGGGGCTATATAGCTTGTTTATGTAGATGTATTTGAAGGAAAATCAATTACTGATTTTTTTCTTAGCCTGCCTGTGGCGATGTATTAATCGGTCTAATCGCTGGGGCTCTTTTCACAGATCCTGTGTCCGTACTTGAATATGCCTCACAACTCCAGAAGAAAGCACACAGAGTCAGTGATTTGGAGATTGAAAACAAGCAGCTTCGGGAGACACTTGAAGAATACAATCATGAATTTGCTGAAGTGAAAAACCAAGGTAACGACATGGAGTCTTGTAGCAGTGACTGTATGTCAATGTGTGTATGTATAGTATGTGTGTATTGATGCGTCTCTTTGTTTATCACTAAAACAGCTCTCCATCTTACGATGCTCCCTCCCACCTCGCAGTCAACCTTACTTCACATGTATCCCCCTCCAGATACTTCACATGTATCCCCCTCCAGATACTTCACATGTATCCCCCTCCAGATACTTCACATGTATCCCCCTCCAGATACTTCACATGTATCCCCCTCCAGTTACTTCACATGTATCCCCCTCCAGATACTTCACATGTATCCCCCTCCAGTTACTTCACATGTATCCCCCTCCAGATACTTCACATGTATCCCCCTCCAGATACTTCACATGTATCCCCCTTTCCAGATACTTCACATGTATCCCCCTCCAGTTACTTCACATGTATCCCCCTCCAGTTACTTCACATGTATCTCCCTCCAGATACTTCACATGTATCCCCCTCCAGATACTTCACATGTATCCCCCTCCAGATACTTTACATGTATCCCCCTTTAGATACTTCACATGTATCCCCCTCCAGATACTTCACATGTATCCCCCTCCAGTTACTTCACATGTACTTCCCCTGCTCCAACACTGATGCTCCCGACCACCACACCATCCCCTGCCCCACACTGATGCTCCCACCCACCACACCATCCCCTGCCCCACACTGATGCTCCCACCCACCACACCATCCCCTGCCCCACACTGATGCTCCCACCCACCACACCATCCCCTGCCCCACACTGATGCTCCCACCCATTACACCATCCCCTGCCCCACACTGATGCTCCCACCCACCACACCATCCCCTGCCCCACACTGAAGCTGAATTTTTACTTTGAGTTATACATCACCTGTTGTCCATGTGCTCTATGTATTAGTATGAAATGATGTAATCCCCCAGGTGTTTCTGTACATCGGGTCACCCTGCCCCCCACGTGGGACACCTAATGCTGATCAGACCACTGACGTGTAAACGACACCCCTGATCAGTCGCTGAGTCAGGTGTCCAGGCCGTGACCCTCAGAAACATCACTATCTCTAGGCATGTATCAGAATGTTCATTAAAAAAATGAGACATTCATGGATAAGACTGAAAGAAAATTTAAAACCGTTTTATGTGAATAAAAATCTAAATGGAAAGTATCCTTAAATAGTTTCATCACATAAAAGATATAGAGTTGTTACAGGAGAATCCCAATGATTGATAATTGATTGATGAATAAAGAACTAACAAAGAAAATTTCAAATATAAACGAGTCTTCACCCTCAAAGAAGTGAAGATAAATTCCTGAAAGATTTGGAGCTTTAATTCAGTATTGACAACACACAAACCCACATTTAATCCACTCTGAGATCTGTGTTCAAAGCTTTGTCAGCTTTACATTTATTATATCTAAATATTTCCTGATGGAACTTCTATCTTATAGAAAATGTGCAGAGGTACAAACATGGGTGGGAAATATTGAAAAGATGTAAAGATTGTAAAATAAACAATTTTTAAAATTCAGTCAATTAAGTGCTTGGTTAAGGATATTTTTGGTTGAAGTAAAGCTTACAGAGGAATCAAGTGTTTCAGGTATTGTCAACTTGAGAAAGATTTTGTTTTAAATTTTGCTAACTTGTAAATGGTGTTAATTTTGAATTTAACTTTCTCAAATTCTTTCCTTTTAAATTTTTTTCCTATTTTTAAGTGAAAAGATGACTTGAGAAACAAAACAGAGCTTCAACACTTTTTCAGTGTAACCAGACATGAAATATTACTAAAATGTTGATGTCTAATTTCCTTGTTTATTCCCCCATTATTTCTTTTTAAAGCTAAAACAAAAAACAAGCTTATGGAGTGTGAGAAAATTTTGATTTTTAGACCAAACAAAAAATAAAAAAATCAGGAAGCAGATTTCACGGATCTACTGTTAGTCAAGAGATAAAAGGTCTTGGAAGTGGTTATGTTGGGTTGAGGGCAGCGTTGGTTGTGCAGTAAATAGAGATGCTCCGCAGTATCACTTACCAATAAATGCTTGGACACGCTCTATTTCACCATGGACAAAACTTGTCGGAATATTAATTGTCTGATTGTGATCCTGGTTGTCTATAGTAAGATGATCGAGGCTACATTTCTACATAATAGGCCGTCATGGCAGGCACAATAACATAGCTATTGTTGCTCACTTTATTGGGAAATCAAATACCCGGGAAACTGGATAAAAAATCCAAATGTAATATTCAGTAGGAAAAGAAAAAATGAAGAATATGGCGTACATTTACAGATGCAGTTAAAAAAGGAAACGATACTGATTAGTATGTGTTATAGGGATCGCTGTAACAAAACTTGTGTATCATAGTGCTCCAGCTTAATAGGTTTCAGGTTCATCTCCTTCGAACAATAAAACTTTCACACCCACAGTGATCTGCTCCAACAAACTTTTCTGGATGCTTTGTAGTTTTGTTTTTCAAAATCATCATGATTTTTATATCGGATCCTGGTTATTTTGTTCAGTGACTGGTTATTGTGTTTAGTGACTGGTTATTGTGTTGTTCAGTGACTGGTTATTGTGTTCCGTGACTTGTTACTTTGTTCAGTGACTGGTTATTGTGTTCAGTGACTGGTTACTTTGTTCAGTGACTGGTTATTGTGTTCAGTGACTGGTTATTTTGTTTAGTGACTGGTTATTGTGTTCAGTGACTGGTTACTTTGTTCAGTGACTGGTTATTGTGTTCAGTGACTTGTTACTTTGTTCAGTGACTGGTTACTTTGTTCAGTGACTTGTTACTTTGTTCAGTGACTTGTTACTTTGTTCAGTGACTGGTTATTGTGTTCAGTGACTGGTTATTTTGTTTAGTGACTGGTTATTGTGTTCAGTGACTGGTTATTGTGTTCAGTGACTTGTTACTTTGTTCAGTGACTGGTTACTTTGTTCAGTGACTGGTTATTGTGTTCAGTGACTGGTTATTGTGTTTAGTGACTGGTTATTGTGTTCAGTGACTGGTTATTTTGTTCAGTGACTGGTTATTGTGTTCAGTGACTGGTTATTGTGTTCAGTGACTGGTTATTGTGTTCAGTGACTGGTTATTGTGTTCAGTGACTGGTTATTGTGTTCAGTGACTGGTTATTGTGTTCAGTGACTTGTTACTTTGTTCAGTGACTTTTGTTCAGTGACTGGTTATTGTGTTTAGTGACTGGTTATTGTGTTCAGTGACTTTTGTTCAGTGACTGGTTACTTTGTTCAGTGACTTGTTACTTTGTTCAGTGACTTTTGTTCAGTGACTGGTTACTTTGTTCAGTGACTGGTTATTGTGTTCAGTGACTTTTGTTCAGTGACTGGTTACTTTGTTCAGTGACTTGTTACTTTGTTCAGTGACTGGTTATTGTGTTTAGTGACTGGTTATTGTATTCAGTGACTGGTTATTGTGTTCAGTGACTGGTTATTGTGTTCAGTGACTTGTTAGTTTGTTCAGTTGTTCAGTGACTGGTTATTGTGTTTAGTGACTGGTTATTGTGTTCAGTGACTGGTTATTGTGTTCAGTGACTGGTTATTGTGTTCAGTGACTGGTTATTGTGTTTAGTGACTTGTTACTTTGTTCAGTGACTGGTTATTGTGTTCAGTGACTGGTTACTTTGTTCAGTGACTGGTTATTGTGTTCAGTGACTGGTTATTTTCTTTAGTGACTGGTTATTGTGTTCAGTGACTGGTTACTTTGTTCAGTGACTGGTTATTGTGTTCAGTGACTGGTTATTGTGTTCAGTGACTTTTGTTCAGTGACTGGTTACTTTGTTCAGTGACTGGTTATTGTGTTCAGTGACTGGTTATTGTGTTCAGTGACTGGTTATTGTGTTCAGTGACTGGTTATTGTGTTCAGTGACTGGTTATTGTGTTCAGTGACTGGTTATTGTGTTGTTCAGTGACTGGTTATTGTGTTGTTCAGTGACTGGTTACTTTGTTCAGTGACTGGTTACTTTGTTCAGTGACTTTTGTTCAGTGACTGGTTATTGTGTTCAGTGACTTTTGTTCAGTGACTGGTTACTTTGTTCAGTGACTGGTTATTGTGTTCAGTGACTGGTTATTGTGTTCAGTGACTGGTTATTGTGTTCAGTGACTTGTTACTTTGTTCAGTGACTTTTGTTCAGTGACTGGTTATTGTGTTCAGTGACTTTTGTTCAGTGACTGGTTATTGTGTTTAGTGACTGGTTATTGTGTTCAGTGACTGGTTATTGTGTTCAGTGACTGGTTATTGTGTTGTTCAGTGACTGGTTATTGTGTTCAGTGACTTTTGTTCAGTGACTGGTTATTGTGTTCAGTGACTGGTTATTGTGTTCAGTGACTGGTTACTTTATTCAGTGACTTTTGTTCAGTGACTGGTTACTTTGTTCAGTGACTGGTTATTGTGTTCAGTGACTTTTGTTCAGTGACTTTTGTTCAGTGACTGGTTACTTTGTTCAGTGACTTGTTACTTTGTTCTTCTCCTCCTTGTTATTGTCTTTACTTCCTGTTACTTTGTTCAGTGACTTGTTACTTTGTTCAGTGACTGGTTATTGTGTTCAGTGACTGGTTATTGTGTTCAGTGACTGGTTATTGTGTTCAGTGACTGGTTATTGTGTTCAGTGACTTGTTACTTTGTTCAGTGACTTTTGTTCAGTGACTGGTTATTGTGTTTAGTGACTGGTTATTGTGTTCAGTGACTGGTTATTGTGTTCAGTGACTGGTTATTGTGTTCAGTGACTGGTTATTGTGTTTAGTGACTGGTTATTTTGTTCAGTGACTGGTTATTGTGTTTAGTGACTGGTTACTTTGTTCAGTGACTGGTTATTGTGTTCAGTGACTGGTTATTTTGTTCAGTGACTGGTTATTGTGTTCAGTGACTGGTTACTTTGTTCAGTGACTGGTTATTGTGTTCAGTGACTGGTTACTTTGTTCAGTGACTGGTTATTGTGTTCAGTGACTGGTTACTTTGTTCAGTGACTGGTTACTTTGTTCAGTGACTGGTTATTGTGTTCAGTGACTGGTTATTGTGTTCAGTGACTTGTTACTTTGTTCAGTGACTGGTTATTGTGTTGTTCAGTGACTGGTTACTTTGTTCAGTGACTGGTTATTTTGTTCAGTGACTGGTTATTGTGTTTAGTGACTGGTTATTGTGTTCAGTGACTGGTTATTGTGTTCAGTGACTGGTTATTGTGTTTAGTGACTGGTTATTTTGTTCAGTGACTGGTTATTGTGTTCAGTGACTGGTTATTGTGTTCAGTGACTGGTTATTTTGTCCAGTGACTGGTTATTGTGTTCAGTGACTGGTTACTTTGTTCAATGACTGGTTACTTTGTTCAGTGACTGGTTACTTTGTTCAGTGACTGGTTATTGTGTTCAGTGACTGGTTATTTTGTTCAGTGACTGGTTACTTTGTTCAGTGACTGGTTATTGTGTTTAGTGACTGGTTATTTTGTTCAGTGACTGGTTACTTTGTTCAGTGACTGGTTATTGTGTTCAGTGACTGGTTACTTTGTTCAGTGACTGGTTATTTTGTTCAGTGACTGGTTATTGTGTTTAGTGACTGGTTATTTTGTTCAGTGACTGGTTACTTTGTTCAGTGACTGGTTATTGTGTTTAGTGACTGGTTATTTTGTTCAGTGACTGGTTATTGTGTTTAGTGACTTGTTATTTTGTTCAGTGACTGGTTATTTTGTTCAGTGACTGGTTACTTTGTTCAGTGACTGGTTATTGTGTTCAGTGACTGGTTATTGTGTTGTTCAGTGACTGGTTATTGTGTTGTTCAGTGACTGGTTACTTTGTTCAGTGACTGGTTATTGTGTTCAGTGACTGGTTACTTTGTTCAGTGACTGGTTATTGTGTTGTTCAGTGACTGGTTACTTTGTTCAGTGACTGGTTATTGTGTTCAGTGACTTGTTACTTTGTTCAGTGACTTTTGTTCAGTGACTGGTTATTGTGTTCAGTGACTGGTTATTTTGTTCAGTGACTGGTTATTGTGTTCAGTGACTGGTTACTTTGTTCAGTGACTGGTTACTTTGTTCAGTGACTGGTTACTTTGTTCAGTGACTGGTTATTGTGTTCAGTGACTGGTTATTTTGTTCAGTGACTGGTTATTGTGTTCAGTGACTGGTTATTGTGTTCAGTGACTGGTTACTTTGTTCAGTGACTGGTTATTGTGTTCAGTGACTGGTTACTTTGTTCAGTGACTAGTTATTGTGTGTAGTGACGTGTTCAGTGACTGGTTATTTTGTTCAGTGACTGGTTATCAGTGACTGGTTATTGTGTTCAGTGACTGGTTATTTTGTCCAGTGACTGGTTATTGTGTTCAGTGACTGGTTATTTTGTTCAGTGACTGGTTACTTTGTTCAGTGACTGGTTATTGTGTTTAGTGACTGGTTATTTTGTTCAGTGACTGGTTATTGTGTTCAGTGACTTTTGTTCAGTGACTGGTTATTGTGTTGTTCAGTGACTGGTTACTTTGTTCAGTGACTGGTTATTGTGTTCAGTGACTTGTTACTTTGTTCAGTGACTTTTGTTCAGTGACTGGTTATTGTGTTGTTCAGTGACTGGTTACTTTGTTCAGTGACTGGTTATTGTGTTCAGTGACTTGTTACTTTGTTCAGTGACTTTTGTTCAGTGACTGGTTATTGTGTTCAGTGACTGGTTATTGTGTTCAGTGACTGGTTATTGTGTTCAGGGACTGGTTATTGTGTTCAGTGACTGGTTACTTTGTTCAGTGACTGGTTATTGTGTTCAGTGACTGGTTATTGTGTTTAGTGACTGGTTATTGTGTTTAGTGACTGGTTATTGTGTTCAGTGACTGGTTATTGTGTTCAGTGACTGGTTATTGTGTTCAGTGACTGGTTATTGTGTTCAGTGACTGGTTATTGTGTTCAGTGACTGGTTATTGTGTAGTTCAGTGACTGGTTATTGTGTTCAGTGACTGGTTATTGTGTTCAGTGACTGGTTATTGTGTTCAGTGACTGGTTATTGTGTTGTTCAGTTACTGGTTACTTTGTTCAGTGACTGGTTATTTTGTTTAGTGACTGGTTATTGTGTTTGACTGTTCAGTGACAGTGACTGGTTATTGTGTTTGAATTTTGTTCAGTGACTTGTTACTTTTGTTCAGTGACTGGTTACTTTGTTCAGTGACTTTTGTTCAGTGACTGGTTACTTTGTTCAGTGATTTTTGTTCAGTGACTGGTTATTGTGTTTAGTGACTGGTTATTGTGTTCAGTGACTGGTTATTGTGTTCAGTGACTGGTTACTTTGTTCAGTGACTGGTTATTGTTTTCAGTGACTGGTTACTTTGTTCAGTGACTTTTGTTCAGTGACTGGTTATTTTGTTTAGTGACTTTGTTCAGTGACTGGTTATTTTGTTCAGTGACTGGTTATTGTGTTCGGTGACTGGTTACTTTGTTCAGTGACTGGTTATTGTGTTCAGTGACTGGTTATTGTGTTCAGTGACTGGTTACTTTGTTCAGTGACTGGTTACTTTGTTCAGTGACTGGTTACTTTGTTCAGTGACTGGTTATATTGTTCAGTGACTGGTTACTTTGTTCAGTGACTGGTTATTGTGTTCAGTGACTGGTTATTGTGTTCAGTGACTGGTTACTTTGTTCGGTGACTGGTTATTGTGTTCAGTGACTGGTTATTGTGTTCGGTGACTGGTTACTTTGTTTAGTGACTGGTTATGGTGTTCAGTGACTGTTTATGCCACTGAAATGTGTTGAGTGTTGATATCTTTTAATGATGACAGTACTTGATCTTTTTATGTTTTGTTCTAAAAATTTGCATAAAATTTCAAAATTGAAATTGAATTGATTGAAATTGACAAAAAAAACTTGATATATTGAAGATGTTATGATTTATTTCTGGTGAAAGCAAATATAACATATTAAATTTTAGTAAACTGCATCCTTAAGTCAATATAGGTATTATAGGATTAGTTGATTTTTTCATTTGATTTAAAGAAACTATCAGAATATTGTTTGAAGTTAAGTGCCCTTTTATAAGACAGAACTTTTAAGATCACCAGGCAGGTCTTTCCTAGCTTAGAACCCAGCTGGATTTTAAAGGTATTGATTGTTTTAGGGTGGAGAGTTGATCAAACTTTTACCACAGATATCAGAAATCAGTCAAAAAGACTTCACTTTATACAAACTCCAATCTGTGATCAGCAAACAACGCAGGGCTGAGGTGTCCCCATTGGTAATCAATGACAGCCGCTACATCGGCCGCGAGTCGATTGTGTATCCGAGGTACTGTCCATTTGAGCTGACAAACAAACTGTTGTGTATGAATACATTAATTCAGACCTTGTTCTTCGGATATTGATCGTGTAGATCAATTTTCCATTAGGGGATCTTTACCAAACTATAAAGATCGATGTTTGATAGTGTTCAGAGCCTTGGCCCTATGAGCCCCTGCGTTCTAGCCAAGGCGTCAGATACTCACTGCAGTAGACTCGATACACAACTCATTCATCTGCCGGCATCACAAGAGGTTCGGCAATCAATTGCACTAGTGTTTTATAGAGTTGTATAGAATTGTCACATGTAAGAGCATTTCTATTGTTACATCACTTTCCACTGATCAATATTCATAAACACGGATTTTTCAAACATCCAAAAAGCCCATTTCTTACTTTCTGTGATTTACTAAAAATCAATAATGCTTTCAAGGATACATGTGTTTCAGCATTCAAATCGGAAATGGCAAGAAGGGACTGTTTTTAGGAAATTAATCAATTATTGTTCTGATTATTTGGTATTAATTTTGAGGTTGGTCCTGTATGGATAAAGGATGAAGTGTGTTCCGAGACATCCTCTCCTAACAGAATCCCCGCTATTGTCTAAACATGGGTACTGTGTAAAACTTGCTTCACATCAGGGATTATCTGGACAATTACAATACCCCTCAACATAAAACCTTCTACATCCGATAAGAAAATCAAAAAAGTCTTACACTTTTACAGTTGTAATCTGTGAAGTTTTGATGGATAAGAAAACAATAAGTTTTTAAATCTTTTAAAATCTGCTGATGGTGTGTGACCTAGCTATACAGGTAAATCTATAAGAGATTACAGGTAACTTGTCTCACCTGGTCTTAACGATCTGTGTTATTATTGATCTCTGATCGTACCTGGTGATCAGGTGACAGGTATATAGTTCCCAAATCGTCACTAAGTTTCAGTTAATCTGCCATACTTCAGATCAACACAGACCATCGATAGGGAACATCAGCTTTTTTTATGGATTTGGCTGTGAGTAAATTTTTGTCTGAAATGAATTAACCAATTATGAAGACAATTTTTTGCACAGTTGATGGTGAATTTGTATACCAAGCTAACGTTTTTTTGTTTTGTGGTCAAACTTCTTGACTAAAAAAGATTAATTAGACTCTCCTTATGAATCTTTTTGTTTTCAGAAGTGACTATTAAACAGTTGAAGGAGAGACTAAGAGATTGTGAAGAAAAGATAGAAGCTACAGCAGAGGTATGTAAGTTAACACAACAGGTGCTCTAGTGTTTATAATCAAATTTTCATATTCCTCTGTGTTTGAAATACTTTGTGTCTGTAAAAATATATCTAAAAAGTTGAAACATTTCTAGTAGACATCCATGTAGTTGAAAAGCTGGTTCTGATGTTTCCTGGTGACATTAAGTTGTCTCCTCATCATCCCAATTTACAGTACTTAGTCTGATTCAATGTTTACTGATGTCCAATACCTTTTACGATGAAGAACACACACATTTCAGATCAAATTTGAATATTGGATAAATTGACTATTTCAAATATAACAATATGTTTGTTTTCTTGGAAAACTCATTGTCTCGGACTTATGTCTTAAACTCACTTTTTGGTCTGAGACTAAGTCCTCACCTATTTGTCTCAGCCTCGCCTCATAGTCTAAGACTCACCTATTTGTCTAAGACTTAATTCATTGTCTAAGACTCACCTATTTGTCCAAGACTTAATTCATCGTCTCAGTATCACCTCATCGTCTCAGTCTCGCCTCATCGTCTCAGTCTTGCCTCATTGTCTCAGTCTCGCCTCATTGTCTCGCCTCATCGTCTCAGTCTTGCCTCATTGTCTCAGTCTCACCTCATCGTCTCAGTCTCGCCTCATCGTCTCAGTCTTGCCTCATCGTCTCAGTCTTGCCTCATTGTCTCAGTCTCGCCTCATTGTCTCGCCTCATCGTCTCAGTCTTGCCTCATTGTCTCAGTCTCGCCTCATCGTCTCAGTATCACCTCATCGTCTCAGTCTGGCCTCACCTATTTGTTCAGACCTTACTTCATTGTCTCTGACTAACCTCAAAGTCAGACTCGATTTTCAGTGTGAGATTATAAACGTCATAACCAGAGGCTAGCCTCATATAATCCTAGACAATGAAAATATTCAAATGTAACATCTGAAGTATCGTGCCAAGAAATCTTTTAAATACAATTGTTAATTTCAAGTAAATATGTTAAAATGTTAGAATGAAACTCCCTATTTGGGACCCATGTGTTGATCAGGTGCATTGATCAATGTCTTAACCACAAGGGTAAGATTATAGTTGTAATTAAGTGGCTAAAATCATGGTGCAGGAAGCAGAATAAGTGTCCGCAAACTTAAGATACTAGAATAAAATTCTACGCTGCATATTTGTGTGTTTGATAACAACATGTGTAACAAAAGTACGCGACATTCCATAGTCAAGTGTTAGTTTGCTGGATCTGATTTGTAAATCGTATGATTTAGCTGTTACCGCCATGAAATGTACACCAAAATGTTCGTTTCATTATAAGCGTAACTAAATAAAAAAAAAATAGAAGCCGTAAAAACAGTGAGCAGGTCTAAATTCAATAGCAGTCCTACCCCGTGTTGGTAATTGATGAGTTCAGACAAAATGTATCTTTTGACATTAAATAGTTTAGAGGTTGTTAAAAATAGCCGAAATTGAAACATTACAGAATTGTTGTCGGCCTGTATTGATGGGAACTAATCGCATGGATGTAATTTCATCTGGCAGTGATCAAGAGAAAATTAAGAATATGTTCTGTGATAATATTTGTGGTAATGTAGTCTTGGATATAATCATAGTATAGGTGATCTCTTTATCCTAATAGAAATCAAAATGTCTGATTAACTTGGAGCTCCAAACCTTCAATAGAATGGGAAGGCTAGGAGGCCAGCAGAGGTCCTTATGGAGGGGGATGTCGAGTCATGCTGGCGTCTCGCCATCACATTCACTAGTCATCTACCAATCAAAAATTGTTTGAATCTGATTTAATGAAAACCATCTTGAAGATATTCTAACTTGAGCTACAAAATTGTATAGCTTAAATCCTGCCTCTCTGAAGTATTGTTTACATAAATTTTTTTTTATCAATTTTCAATTCCTATTTGCTCAGATTATTTTTGTGACTTGTATATTTGCTCAGATTGTGGGTTATTTTTGTGACTTGTATATTTGTTTGGATTGTGGGTTATTTTTGTGACTTGTATATTTGCTCAGATTGTGGGTTATTTTTGTGACTTGTATATTTGTTTGGATTGTGGGTTATTTTTGTGACTTGTATATTTGCTCAGATTGTGGGTTATTTTTGTGACTTGTATATTTGTTTGGATTGTGGGTTATTTTTGTGACTTGTATATTTGCTCAGATTGTGGGTTATTTTTGTGACTTGTATATTTGCTCAGATTGTGGGTTATTTTTGTGACTTGTATATTTGCTCAGATTGTGGGTTATTTTTGTGACTTGTATATTTGCTCAGATTGTGGGTTATTTTTGTGACTTGTATATTTGCTCAGATTGTGGGTTATTTTTGTGACTTGTATATTTGCTCAGATTGTGGGTTATTTTTGTGACTTGTATATTTGCTCAGATTGTGGGTTATTTTTGTGACTTGTATATTTGCTCAGATTGTGGGTTATTTTTGTGACTTGTATATTTGTTTGGATTGTGGGTTATTTTTGTGACTTGTATATTTGCTCAGATTGTGGGTTATTTTTGTGACTTGTATATTTGTTTGGATTGTGGGTTATTTTTGTGACTTGTATATTTGCTCAGATTGTGGGTTATTTTTGTGACTTGTATATTTGCTCAGATTGTGGGTTATTTTTGTGACTTGTATATTTGTTTGGATTGTGGGTTATTTTTGTGACTTGTATATTTGCTCAGATTGTGGGTTATTTTTGTGACTTGTATATTTGCTCAGATTGTGGGTTATTTTTGTGACTTGTATATTTGTTTGGATTGTGGGTTATTTTTGTGACTTGTATATTTGCTCAGATTGTGGGTTATTTTTGTGACTTGTATATTTGCTCAGATTGTGGGTTATTTTTGTGACTTGTATATCAGCTTGTTAATGAATTTGTCCTCAATAGTCACACTGAATTAGTTGTGGAGACTTAAGCGAGACTCCTGATCATTAATGTGAATTGATCTGTAGCATTGCATTACAATACAACTCTGGAAATAACAAATATTCCCAAACAATATAACAACCTAAGTACTGCTGGGATTCCCACTGCCTGTCCTTAGCACAAAACACGCCACACTGGAATTCCCTTAAATAAATGTTTTGTATTCAACAGATAATAGAAATATGTTGATATTTTACTGTCAGAAATCTTCTTTCAACATGTCTAGTTGTTCTTTGTAATTGATATAATTTTTTAAATTCCAACATTTCTGACCCTGCCACTTTCAACAAAGCCAGGGGCTAGAGGTATGGGACAGGGGAGATAACTCCTAGTTTTTATCCACAGCTTTTGGGTCATGAAACCGATAATTCTGGATAAATTTAACACCAATATCAGTTTGGTGAGGTAAAGGTCCTGTTAGGGATTTCATAAAAGTAAATAAAGTGTCACAGTTATAATTAGATAAGGAAATCAGTCAGCCATAAATTGATAAAGTAGATACAAACTAAGGTTATTACTTATATACACTGTAATGATACATATGGATAATATTAATTGACTGTGACGTCTGTAAACTGACAAAAATAATCTTGTAAACTTTTGCTGGAAATACACTTCATCTTAAATTCAGGTTTCTGTTGACTACAAGTGGAAAAAAGCAAAAGAAATTCTTTAATATTTTGGAAAATATAATGATTTAGAGAAAATCAAAGTATCAGTTTAAATCCAAGATTGTTATTCCTAGTTTGTGACTATCATTTTGTTTGCTATTTTGTGAAATTACTTTAAAAACTGGGTCTATATTTCATGGAACCGATACGCCTCATGAGACTTAAAGCATTAAAGGAATCATTGTGTGTAGTGTTCAGTGGTAATCAGATTCCGTTGGTCCCTAAATGTATAAATCTTGTCAGCAGGATGGTGATACTACGGCTTTCGTAATAAACAATATCATGTTAATTGATTTTAAATTTCCTTTGTGAAAATAAGAGAATCTTTGCTGCTGTTGTGAAGTGAACGAAAGACTACGGCTGTTGCTTATCTAAATAACTTCCTGGAATTCTTCTCAGTATTAAATTTTAAGTGATGGATACGTGTAATAGCTTTGAAGATATCAACTTTAATACATATTGATGTTTTTTTATGATGAATTATTATTTGATAAATAAAGTTTCATAGATAAAGTTTTTTTTCTCTTTTAATTGAAGAATTTTGATTCTGTGAGACAAACACTTAGAAATCTTTATTTGGTCTATTTTGTATTAATCTATTATAGACCATTGTATGAGACTGGATATCGTTAATACTCCTGATTATACCTTGCTATCTGACCTCAATCGTTTTCACTCCTTTCCCTTAAACCAATCACCATCAATAGTGAGAACGAGGTGTTTTTTCTTTCGTTCCAATCAGCCAGGATTCCTTTAAGAGCTGCAAGCTTCACAAGATTTATACCCTGGTGTTGATTATTGTTCCAAATTCAATATCAACAATGTCGTTTGATTTTTACCGTGTCTGTAATCGTTTGTGATCTACTGTCACATTACCTACAAATTTATGTAATTAACTTCTCAGAATAAATGATGTGATAGAAAACGCTCTCACTTAATGAAACACTGGAATTTGATATAGCCTGTTGCATTATTTACAGATATTTGAGCTTTTAAGGGTTGGATTTATGGAAGGCAAAAAAAAAGTCCACAAAATTAAACTGGAAATTGATAAAATTTGTTGAATTATTTACAACTATGGGAACATTAAAGAATTAGATAGAATTTAAAAAGAAGAAGTGGAAAATGGCAATTTTATTAGAAGCCTCAGCTTTTGGAGTTTTATTTCTTTTTTTTTTGTTTTGTTTTTTTTTTTTCATGGACTGACAGTTGAGCACTAGGTTAGGTTTCATCTGTTAGAGCGAATGTTCTCTTTATGTACACTGACGATACGCGTAAAATCGTGTCGATTCATAAACTGATACTGATTACCACGTTGAAATCAACAACTCTTCCGGTCATGCATGGTTGAATTATTTCTGTGACAGTCACGCCTGGTTAAGTAATTTCTGTATAGGATAGAAAAATATCAATCACTTCTGTGAAGACAAGTCCTCCGTCAGACAGGGCTCCATGGTTTACTATCATCACCAGTGTGACACTGTGTCCCCCGTGCATCAATACAGCCTCACTGTTCCAACTGTCTGTGTGGATATTTACAGCATTTCTGTGGTATTCATGTGTGACATGTGATACGTGTATGTACACATGTATACAGTAGATGATTTGTTGGAGGATTTGATAGATGTTTTTTGAGAGGATGATGTGAGTGTGGCATTTGTGGCTCTGTGCATCGTGGAATCTTCTTCACGCAAGTGAGACTATAAGTGGCCTGTCTGTGACCTGTGGGAAACAATGTTTGGCAACTGTCAGTATATCAGACAAAAAGGTAGAGGATAATTTTCCTAACTGTCAGTATATCAGACAAAAAGGTAGAGGATAATTTTCCTAACTGTCAGTATATCAGACAAAAAGGTAGAGGATAATTTTCCTAACTGTCAGTATATCAGACAAAAAGATAGAGGATAATTTTCCTAACTGTCAGTATATCAGACAAAAAGGTAGAGGATAATTTTCCTAACTGTCAGTATATCAGACAAAAAGATAGAGGATAATTTTCCTAACTGTCAGTATATCAGACAAAAAGGTAGAGGATAATTTTCCTAACTGTCAGTATATCAGACAAAAAGATAGAGGATAATTTTCCTAACTGTCAGTATATCAGACAAAAAGATAGAGGATAATTTTCCTAACTGTCAGTATATCAGACAAAAAGGTAGAGGATAATTTTCCTAACTGTCAGTATATCAGACAAAAAGGTAGAGGATAATTTTCCTAACTGTCAGTATATCAGACAAAAAGATAGAGGATAATTTTCCTAACTGTCAGTATATCAGACAAAAAGATAGAGGATAATTTTCCTAACTGTCAGTATATCAGACAAAAAGATAGAGGATAATTTTCCTAACTGTCAGTATATCAGACAAAAAGATAGAGGATAATTTTCCTAACTGTCAGTATATCAGACAAAAAGGTAGAGGATAATTTTCCTATATCAATTTTTCTTCATCCAGATTTTCAGATGTCAACTTTTTAATCATGATAGAAGGTTTTCTGCTGTTGTAGTTATTAGCATTGATTTGTGACACTTTAGATACAATAGAAGAATTATAGATTAAAGGAAAGTTTATTTAGAAGGGTGACAACTATAACATGATGGTAGTTAAGGAAACAGATGGTAGATGATAAATGAAGATGACAGATGATAGATAATAGATGAGGATGACAGATGGTAGATAATAGAGGATGGCAGATGGTAGATAATAGATGAGGATGACAGATGGTAGATAATAGATGAGGATGACAGATGGTAGATAATAGAGGATGACAGATGGTAGATAATAGATGAGGATGACAGATGGTAGATAATAGAGGATGGCAGATGGTAGATAATAGATGAGGATGACAGATGGTAGATAATAGATGAGGATGACAGATGGTAGATAATAGATGAGGATGACAGATGGTAGATAATAGATGAGGATGACAGATGGTAGATAATAGAGGATGGCAGATGGTAGATAATAGATGAGGATGACAGATGTAGATGATAGATGGGGATGACAGATGGTAGATAATAAATGAGGATGACAGATGTAGATAATAGATGAGGATGACAGATGGTAGATGATAGATGAGGATGACAGATGGTAGATGATGGATGAGGATGACAGATGGTAGATAATAGAGGATGACAAATGGTAGATAATAGAGGATGACAGTGGTAGATAATAGAGGATGACTGATGGTAGATGATAGCGGAGGATAACTTACGGTCTAAGGAGATGACAAAATGTAGATGATGGTAGATAATGGTAGAAGAGGATGACAGATGTAGGTGATTGTAAAGGAGAATGAAGTTGATTAGAGGATATGAGAAGATAATGAGTGTGGATGAATGTAGATGAGGATGAGAGATGGTAGATGATGGAGGAGGATGACAGATGGTAGATGGTAAAAGAGGGTGGCAAATGGTAGATGATAATAGAAAAGGATGACAACTAGTAGATAATAGATGAGGATGACAACTGATAGATGATAGAGGAGGATGACAAGTAGTAGATGATAGAGGAGGATGACAATTAGTTGATGATAGAGGAGGATGACAACTTGTAGATGATAGATGAGGATGACAGCTGATAGATGATAGAGGAGGATGACAACTTGTAGATGATAGATGAGGATGACAAGTAGTAGATGATAGATGAGATTGACAAGTAGTAGATGATAGATGAGGATGACAAGTAGGTGATAGAGGAGGATGACAATTAGGAGATGATAAGAGGAGAATGACAACTGATAGATGATAGAGGAGAATGACAACTGATATATGATAGAGGAGGATGACAAGTAGTAGATGATAGATGAGGATGACAACTGATAGATGATAGAGGAGGATGACAGGTAGTAGATGATAGATAATGACAAGTAGTAGATGATAGATCAGGATGACAGCTGATAGATGATAGAGGAGGATAACAAGTAGTAGATGATAGAGGAGGATGACAACTGATAGATGATAGATGAGGATGACAAGTAGTAGATGCTAGAGGAGGATGACAAGTAGTTGATGATAGAGGAGATTGGCAAGTAGTAGATGATAGATGAGGATGACAGCTGATAGATGATAGATGAGGATGACAAGTAGTAGATGCTAGAGGAGGATGACAAGTAGTAGATGATAGAGGAGGATGACAAATAGATGATAGAGGAGGATGACAATTAGGAGATGATAAGAGGAGGATGACAGCTGATAGATGATAGAGGAGGATGACAACTGATAGATGATAGAGGAGGATGACAACTGATAGATGATAGAGGAGGATGACAACTGATAGATGATAGAGGAGGATGACAACTGATAGATGATAGAGGAGGATGACAAGTAGTAGATGATAGAGGAGGATGACAAGTAGTAGATGATAAGAGGAGGATGACAACTAGAAGATGATAAGAGGAGGATGACAAGTAGTAGATGATAGGGGAAGATGACAACTAGTAGATGATAGAGGAGGATGACAACTGGTAGATAATAGAGGAGGATGACAACTGGTAGATAATAGAGGAGGATGACAACTAGAAGATGATAAGAGGAGGATGACAACTAGAAGATGATAAGAGGAGGATGACAAGTAGTAGATGATAGGGGAAGATGACAACTAGTAGATGATAGAGGAGGATGACAACTGGTAGATAATAGAGGAGGATGACAACTGGTAGATAATAGAGGAGGATGACAACTGGTAGATAATAGAGGAGGATGACAACTGATAGATAATTGGGGAGGATGACAACTGGTAGATAATTGGGGAGGATGACAACTGGTAGATAATGGTAGAAGACAACTGGTAGATGATAAAGGAGAATGATGACTGACAGATTGTGGCAGAATAAGATGACAACTTATAGATGATTATAGAAGAGGATGACAGCTGGTAGACAATCGAATTGGATGACAACTGTTAAATGACAGAGGAAGACAGTAGATAGTACATGATAATTGAAGAGGATAATATTTGAGGGTGATGTTTAGCTGAAGATGATAGAGAAAGATGATAATATAGATTATGTATAGATGACTGTTTTTTGTTGCAGACAAGGACCAAGGAGAAAGAGAGAGAGCTACAAAGGAGCTTCGCAGACAAAGAGCGCCAACTTCAAGAGAGTCAGCTGTCTGTGGCACGCAAACTCGGTGAAGCAGAACAGAAAGTTTCAACACTCCATGCATGTAAGTCAGCATTTCTGATCATTAGGATGTCGATAACTATTCTGTCTCATTGTTTCTATACAGAAGGCTTGCTGTTTTTACTCTATGTATGCCACATTTAGTTGTTGACAGTGATGTCTTATATAGTGGCTATTTCAACCACATGAAAATGTTGATAAGTGTCTGCAATGGATAGGCTTCCCTAATATATCCATAAATGATTTACTGGTCTCCTATTTGTGTGTATGTAAGTGTGTGTTAGTGTGTGTATGTAAGTGTGTGTTAGTGTGTGTATGTAAGTGTGTGTATGTTAGTGTGTGTATGTTAGTGTAGGTTAGTGTGTGTATGTTAGTGTGTGTATGTTAGTGTGTGTATGTTAGTGTATGTTAGTGTAGGTTAGTGTGTGTATGTTAGTGTAGGTTAGTGTAGGTTAGTGTGTGTATGTTAGTGTACGTTAGTGTATGTTAGTGTATGTTAGCGTATGTTAGTGTAGGTTAGTGTGTGTATGTTAGTGTATGTTAGTGTAGGTTAGTGTGTGTATGTTAGTGTATGTTAGTGCGTGTATGTTAGTGTAGGTTAGTGTGTGTATGTTAGTATGTGTATTTTAGTGTACGTTAGTGTAGGTTAGTGTGTGTATGTTAGTGTAGGTTAGTGTAGGTTAGTGTGTGTATGTTAGTGTAGGTTAGTGTAGGTTAGTGTAGGTTAGTGTAGGTTAGTGTGTGTATGTTAGTGTGTGTGTATGTTAGTGTGTAGGTTAGTGTTAGTGTGTAGTGTGTGTATGTTAGTGTATGTTAGTGTAGGTTAGTGTAGGTTAGTGTGTGTATGTTAGTGTGTGTATGTTAGTGTGTGTATGTTAGTGTAGGTTAGTGTAGGTTAGTGTGTGTATGTTAGTGTAGGTTAGTGTAGGTTAGTGTAGGTTAGTGTAGGTTAGTGTGTGTATGTTAGTGTAGGTTAGTGTAGGTTAGTGTAGGTTAGTGTGTGTATGTTAGTGTATGTTAGTGTATGTTAGTGTATGTTAGTGTATGTTAGTGTGTGTATGTTAGTGTATGTTAGTGTGTGTATGTTAGTGTAGGTTAGTGTGTGTATGTTAGTGTATGTTAGTGTATGTTAGTGTATGTTAGTGTATGTTAGTGTAGGTTAGTGTAGGTTAGTGTGTGTATGTTAGTGTAGGTTAGTGTAGGTTAGTGTAGGTTAGTGTGTGTATGTTAGTGTATGTTAGTGTGTGTATGTTAGTGTATGTTAGTGTGTGTATGTTAGTGTATGTTAGTGTGTGTATGTTAGTGTATGTTAGTGTAGGTTAGTGTGTGTATGTTAGTGTATGTTAGTGTATGTTAGTGTAGGTTAGTATAGGTTAGTGTATGTATGTTATTTTATGTAAGAGTATGTTTTATTTTTTGCTGTCTATTCTAGTCCGTAGCCTACTATTGATAGCTCCAACAGACAAAAACTAAACAAGAGAACTGTAGAATCTGATATCCCCGCTGACTTTTTGTTTCTGATGAATGCCACGGCAATGATTGATACTGGAATTAAACCCAATCAAATGTCATTTGCAGATTTGTGGAAATTAATCTAATTTTTTTTTGCCCTATGTTGCCTGTAACTAGTAAATTGCCTCAGAGTTACATTCTTGTGAGTTGTTTAAAATCAGTCCATTTAGAGGGAGATCGGATGTGGCGGTTAGGTGTACATAGTCGGAATGTGTTGTGAAGCTCCAACAGTGGAAGGACACTTTGATTTATCTGGTTGTGTAGATCAATATCACATCTGTTGCCCGTTTTAGTGATGATTATGAAAATCAATTTAGATCACTTATCATGTTCTGGGGCTGGGGCCTGACATTTAGCTAAGGTTTCCAGTACAATCATTGCTCGTATTAGTAGATCTACGTCAGTATTTATCTCTTGGTCTTCTGCATCAACCTTCACATCAACTAAAACACAACTCCATTCCAGCAGTAATGAGCATATATGTGTCTACATATTCAATCTGAGTGATGTGGACTTTCGTCAAGATTGATAATTGAAAGACAACTTGTGCAATGGTTTTAAAAATTATCTGATTCAATGGAAGTATTTTATGTTTCAATTTACCTGCACTTAGAAATGGATGTTGGAATTTTCTCAGCTCAATAATGTATCATTATCTTCACACACGGCTCATTATCATGTTTGTACAAGTAAGTTGTTTCTAATTTCAAGTGTGTGGTCGTTTTCCCTGAGCAGCTTAACACAAGTTATTTCAATAAACCATAAAAAGTAGAACTTTGTTGAGTTATTTTGAATATCATTAACTTCTATTGTTGTTGTTTTAGATTTGTGATTAATCCTTGGAATTTCTAATAACAATGGTTTGTTTTTTTTATTGTTTTAATTACTTTTTGTTGAAAATTGTTTACGATATTAAGCTTGTCATACTTTGAAGGATGAGAATATTTGCTGTCTGCCACATGTACCTACTCTTAGACTTTCTTCCTTCAGTATAAAATTCATTGTGTTCGGTATATTCTTTTTATCAAGTGTTTACAATATTTTCTTTGGAATCTGCTATTTGATATAAAGATTGCTGGTTTCGATAACATTTCGGATTTTGTCTGGTGCTTAACTCAAGTCTGACATTAACTCATTATTTAATGTCTCGTAATGTAAGTAAATCATTACCTACTCGTCAGACAGGCTCGAGTACACAGATTTACTCATTTAGTTATATACTCAAATGTCAATAATCAAACAAACTGCTGATTGGGATTTATATATAAATACCTCTACCTTTTTGTGAGATGTGAGGGAACCTCAGTGTTTCTAGGGTTTTGAGGGCAGAGGTAGGAGTAATGTGGGGACCCCAGTATTTGAAAGGTTTTGAGGGCAGAGATAGGAGTAATGTTGGGACCCCAGTGTCTCTAGGGTTTTGAGGGCAGAGATAGCAGTAATGTGGGGACCCCAGTATTTGAAAGGTTTTGAGGGCAGAGATAGGAGTAATGTGGGGACCCCAGTGTCTCTAGGGTTTTGAGGGCAGAGATAGCAGTAATGTGGGGACCCCAGTATTTGAAAGGTTTTGAGGGCAGAGATAGGAGTAATGTGGGGACCCCAGTATTTGAAAGGTTTTGAGGGCAGAGATAGGAGTAATGTGGGGACCCCAGTGTTTGAAAGGTTTTGAGGGCAGAGATAGGAGTAATGTGGGGACCCCAGTGTTTGGAAAGTTTTAAGGGCAGAGATAGAAGTAATGTTGGGACCCCAGTGGTTGGAGGGTTTTGAGGGCAGAGATATGAGTTATGTGGGAACCCCAGTGTTTGAAAGGTTTTGAGGGCAGAGATAGGAGTAATGTGGGGACCCCAGTGTTTCTAGGGTTTTGAGGGCAGAGATAGGAGTAATGTGGGGACCCCAGTATTTGAAAGGTTTTGAGGGCAGAGATAGGAGTAATGTGGGGACCCCAGTGTTTCTAGGGTTTTGAGGGCAGAGATAGGAGTAATGAGGGGACCCCAGTGTTTGAAAGGTTTTGAGGGCAGAGATAGGAGTAATGTGGGGACCCCAGTGTTTGAAAGGTTTCAAGGGCAGAGATAGGAGTAATGTGGGGACCCCAGTGTTTGGAAAGTTTTAAGGGCAGAGATAGAAGTAATGTTGGGACCCCAGTGGTTGGAGGGTTTTGAGGGCAGAGATATGAGTTATGTGGGGACCCCAGTGTTTGGAAAGTTTGGAGGGCAGAGAGGTTGAAGAATTGTGGGACCTCAGTGGTTGAAGGGTATTGAGGGGAGGGTGGAGTTATTGTAAGGAAGATCTAGGGACCTAAGTGTGGATGGGTGACCAGTCAATGTGAGATGTATCATTTATTACACATATACATGTCACTTTGGCTGTCTGTCGACATGACACAATGACAGTCTAATAGAAATTTTATGGTCTGGCAATGAATTAATGTGTGTACATTGTCGTAACACTGGGCCGCGCTGGATTATCAAGTCAATGGTATAAGGTGCATCACCAGACACATCTTTACCTTGACTGATCTACACATGGAGGCTGATTATTGTACAGTGATAGCCACCGTGTCCGATTAATTCAATCATTTTCCTCAGAACATTATTCCTGGATACTGTTTCAACTCTAGGCTTATCAACAAGTTGCCCGGTAATTACTTTGGTTTTTTTAGGGTGTTTCTTTTCTAAGTACAGTTTACACTGATTCAATGCATCACCAGAAATCAGTATTAGTAACCATAATACAGCTGTTAGGTGTGTATGTGTGTCGCTGTTGTTCCTGGTGGATTTCATATCTCAAACAGAAACTATAACACAAGCTTTGATAAACATGGATTAACTGTTGTCAGGTAAACGTGAAATTCCCTACGAGAAATTCACCAAAACAATCACCAACAGGACTAGGTGGACTTGTTGTTTTTGAGGGACCTGAATCATCTGTAGTCCTCACAATGTGTCATGTTGGTCATGTGAGTGTTGTTTGTTGTTTCAGCTTTGGAACATGTACAACAGGAGCTGTTTGAAGTCAAGTCCAAGTACGATGAGACAACATCAGCAAAGTAAGTCCACTTTACAACACTGTTTCTGTTGTCCAGTCAAAAATGAACAGTTCTCTTGTCCTTTTATAACAGTGTATTGTCCAGTCAGTACTTTCTTTTGTCCAGTTAGAATGGTCAAGAAACCTGACACTTCTTACTTTTATAACAGTGTATTGTCCAGTCAGTACTTTCTTTTGTCCAGTTAGAATGGTCAAGAAACCTGACACTTCTTACTTTTATAACAGTCTATTGTCCAGTCAGTACTTTCTTTTGTCCAGTTAGAATGGTCAAGAAATCTGACACTTCTTACTTTTATAACAGTCTATTGTCCAGTCAGTACTTTCTTTTGTCCAGTTAGAATGGTCAAGAAACCTGACACTTCTTACTTTTATAACAGTCTATTGTCCAGTCAGTACTTTCTTTTGTCCAGTTAGAATGGTCAAGAAATCTGACACTTCTTACTTTTATAACAGTCTATTGTCCAGTCAGTACTTTCTTTTGTCCAGTTAGAATGGTCAAGAAACCTGACACTTCTTACTTTTATAACAGTCTATTGTCCAGTCAGTACTTTCTTTTGTCCAGTTAGAATGGTCAAGAAACCTGACACTTCTTACTTTTATAACAGTCTATTGTCCAGTCAGTACTTTCTTTTGTCCAGTTAGAATGGTCAAGAAACCTGACACTTCTTACTTTTATAACAGTGTATTGTCCAGTCAGTACTTTCTTTTGTCCAGTTAGAATGGTCAAGAAATCTGACACTTCTTACTTTTATAAATGATTTAATTCTTTTTTTTCAATTTTTAGTTAAAATTTTCAATATTTGAACAAAAAATTGTCATAATATATAACAGATTTAATGAACCAAAAGGAACATGAACTATCTACATATTAGAAATGTCAGGATTAAGTTTGAGACCTCCAGCCGAGCTCATTAGGATGAAGGAGATTATTTATTTTCAAATTATGTGAAGATAATTAAAAGACTATGCTATTTATTCCTTCTTCGTGCTTGTCTGCAAAATTTCTCAAAAACTGAAAATCTTTTTCTGCCTGGCACTTAGATTTCAGTATATTTACAGTAATATATACAGATATCCTTAATCCTTAAGTAAACCTGTAGTGTACTAGTCTATGATCAAAGTGTGATGAGGATTTTTTTCTGGGCTAATTAAAGCTTTATATATATATATATATCTCAAATCTAAATTAGAATTCATAAATTGATTGATAGTCTGAATCAGAAATCATTGTAGATTGACAACAGGTCTGAATCAGAAATCATTGTAGATTGACCGCTGGTGCGAATCAGAAATCATTGTAAATTGACAACAGGTCTGAATCAGAAATCATTGTAGATTGACAACAGGTCTGAATCAGAAATCATTGTAGATTGACAACAGGTCTGAATCAGAAATCATTGTAGATTGACAACAGGTCTGAATCAGAAATCATTGTAGATTGACCGCTGGTGCGAATCAGAAATCATTGTAAATTGACAACAGGTCTGAATCAGAAATCATTGTAGATTGACAACAGGTCTGAATCAGAAATCATTGTAGATTGACAACAGGTCTGAATCAGAAATCATTGTAGATTGACCGCTGGTGCGAATCAGAAATCATTGTAAATTGACAACAGGTCTGAATCAGAAATCATTGTAGATTGACAACAGGTCTGAATCAGAAATCATTGTAGATTGACAACAGGTCTGAATCAGAAATCATTGTAGATTGACAACAGGTCTGAATCAGAAATCATTGTAGATTGACCGCTGGTGCGAATCAGAAATCATTGTAAATTGACAACAGGTCTGAATCAGAAATCATTGTAGATTGACAACAGGTCTGAATCAGAAATCATTGTAGATTGACCGCTGGTGCGAATCAGAAATCATTGTAAATTGACAACAGGTCTGAATCAGAAATCATTGTAAATTGACAACAGGTCTGAATCAGAAATCATTGTAGATTGACAACAGGTCTGAATCAGAAATCATTGTAGATTGACCGCTGGTGCGAATCAGAAATCATTGTAAATTGACAACAGGTCTGAATCAGAAATCATTGTAGATTGACAACAGGTCTGAATCAGAAATCATTGTAGATTGACCGCTGGTGCGAATCAGAAATCATTGTAAATTGACAACAGGTCTGAATCAGAAATCATTGTAAATTGACAACAGGTCTGAATCAGAAATCATTGTAGATTGACAACAGGTCTGAATCAGAAATCATTGTAGATTGACCGCTGGTGCGAATCAGAAATCATTGTAAATTGACAACAGGTCTGAATCAGAAATCATTGTAGATTGACAACAGGTCTGAATCAGAAATCATAGTAGATTGACAACAGGTCTGAATCAGAAATCATTGTAGATTGACAACAGGTCTGAATCAGAAATCATTGTAGATTGACAACAGGTCTGAATCAGAAATCATTGTAGATTGACCGCTGGTGCGAATCAGAAATCATTGTAGATTGACAACAGGTCTGAATCAGAAATCATTGTAGATTGACAACAGGTCTGAATCAGAAATCATTGTAGATTGACAACAGGTCTGAATCAGAAATCATTGTAAATTACACATTCATTCTAAATCAGAATTAAAGAAATCCTTTGACAAAGATGTCTGTTTCTTCAAAACCTGATTGACTCATCTTTGTACCTCCCAAAATAATGTGTTTGTCAGCTGTGTCCTATTAATATCCAGCAGTATCATAATTAAAGAAGACAAATGTTGTCTTTTACTAATGATTAAAATGTTTCACGACATGCTGGAGGAAATGATTTTAATGATTGGCGTGTCCTACATCCTGATGATATAAAACGACATTGATGGTCACAATATTTTATTTGCAACATTTGTTAGTCGTGGTTTTTACTGTCATTGTCAGATTCAAATTCTAAACTTGGTCATGTGACTTTCATCTTGCAGCAAAGGGAGATTATCAGTGTTTATACATGTGTTGAAATACCAAGTGCTTTTTTTCGAAACAAAATATAGAAATAGAGAAATTTATTTAATTTTGGAAATAAGTATACACTGCTTACTGTAAATTTGAAAGTCATGAGGGATACATTTTTATTCAGCTTTGAATGAAGAATATATACTGTTGATTGAAAATTTTAAATTTTGATTTTGATTTTAGTATATGATATGGTGGAGGAGCTACATTGAGTTACAGTATTAAATCAACAAGGATTCTCAAATAGAATTTCCTTTTTAATTTAATTTTTTGAAAATTCAAGACATCAGTTACATGATGATGTTTTTCCTTTTTTAATGTAATGACACATTTTAAAAGTATTAATTTTATATATATTTACAAAATTTATTTCTGTGATGATTTAAGAATGGCCATAGATATAACAGAAAGATGTTGCGGTGTGTACAGAAAACTGCTTGGTAGAGGGAGAAATGTTGTTAGTCACTAATTTAATTTATTGTAAGCAATAATAAAACAGGGACTCTTGTGAACCGTGGGAATTATGTAGATGAAAAACAAGGCTGGGTAGACTTCTCAGCAAACCACATGAGAAAACTGTTTCTTTATTTACAAGGATAAAAATTGTGTTGATTGGTTTCTTCCATAATTACCTGTCCAAAAGGACCACCAGTCTTGATCATACATCTATGAATTAGATACCTGTCTTGAAGGACCACCTGTAAATATTTGCTTGAACTTCATATGTTAAAGTTGGATATTTTTGGGACGGAAGTTAAATAATCATGTTTAATAAACAATTTTGATAACTGTGATTTTGAAGTACAGTAGGTGTAAAGGGTTGTGATATTATGTCACAAACAGTGTAAACACTGCCATCGAAAGAAACAATATTAGAAGAAGAACAAGACAAATCTTGCAATTAAGAATGGAGGTTTGAGAAAATGAAGGTGTATATGGAGTAGATTTTAGCATTATGTGACGAGATGAGTAATCAGCTTCTATGTCAGTACAGTTTTACATACAAGCTTAGTGAAGTACATAGCCTGGAGTAATTGCTCTGTGACAACAAGAGGTGATAGTTGTAGATCAGACAACGGATGTGGAATTTGTTACAAATTTTTCTGACCTATCATTGTCTGGGATGAGATGGCATTTGTATAATGATAGGAAAAGTGAAATCAATTTGTTACTATGTTGAATTACTCTCACTATCATCCAGACTTATTAAAGACTTTTTACATTAGCTACAAAATCATATGACAATGTGATATGAAATAAAAATCATGTGTTTTGGTGAAATTATGATTAATGTTTACTCTAGGATGTCTCCACTTTATATAGAATTACAGGAACAAAAGAATGAGATAGGGGGAGGATCCTGTCCAGGAGAAGAATGGCTTTGTACAATGTTTTCATGTTATAATGAAATTTGAATGTTTTTCATTATTACCTTATAAGGATAATTCAACTATTATTATTTAAAACCTCGGCAAACAAGTTCAGAGGGGTATAACTGAAATCAGGTTGTCTGTCCGTCTGTCCTTCTGTCTGTCTATTAACATGTCCTGTCAACTCTTTCTAATCTTGTGAACACGATTTTGCTGAAACTTCATAGGAATATTAAGGACCATATGTAGATGTGCAAGCAGTTTTTTTTTCTTTTAATTATTATCGTACATTTTACAGAATATTTGGTTGTCTTGGTAACTGGATTGACTTATACATAGATAATACTCTGCATCTGCAGGATGAGAAAGGTGACGGTTAAATCATCCTTGATGACAGTTCTAGTTTTCATTTAGTTTAAATGTTGTTTAAATAGAAAAGACACAAAGAAGTAAATTATGGTAAATACATGAAGTTATTTATAGAACTTTGGTTTCTTTCCGTAACAATTTTTCATTAGATTCTGTGTTCAGGACAAATTAGGTTTATTATTAACTGGTTTTTGGTGCCTTTATTGCTGTTTTTTAAATGTTTTTAGCGATTGTTTAGCAACAAAACTTCTTTGCTATTGTTTTGTGAACTTTATCACAGATGGAGGTACTTGGTTATCCACATGGCAATGGCCA